CCCCGCCCCCCCCTTGCCCCGGGGGACAGCCAATCGCGAGGCAGGGCGCCCCCGAGGGGCGGGGCGGGGGAAAGGGGAGCCGCGGGGGCTGCTGGGAAGTGTAGTTCGGGTGGGAGGGGGAACGGGAAGGGGACGTGGTGGGGGCGGGGGGACTTGGGGAAGGGTCCGGGTGGGGACACGGGTGGGAGGAGATGGCAGGGGACACGAGTGTGGACTTGGGAGAGGGGCATGAGTGTGGGATATGGGAGAGGAGAGGGAAACAAGTATAAGACATGGGAGAGGGACACGAGTGTGGGACATGGGAGAGGGACACTGCTGTAGGACATGGGAGAGGAGAGGGACACAACTGTGGGACATGCGAGAGGAGAGGGACACAAGTGTGGGACATGGGAGAGAGACACGAGTGTGGACATGGGAGAGGGGCATGAGTGTGGGATATGGGAGAGGAGAGGGACACGAGCGTGAGACTTGGGAGAGGGACACGAGTGTGGGACACGGGAGAGGAGCAGGACACGAGCGTGGGACATGCGAGAGGAGAGGGACACAAGTGTGGGACATGGGAGAGGGACACAGGTAGCAGATACAGGTGCAGGGACATGGGTGAGGGGACACAGCCATGGTTCACAGGACTGGGACATGACTGGCACATGAGTGCGGGACATGGTTGAAGGGATAGGAATGTGGGACACGGGTGAGGGGACACAGATGCGAGACATGGTGAGGGACACAGATGTGGGACACACACACGGTTGCTGTGGGACGCACAGGCAGCACCGCGGTGTGGGACATGGGTGGGAAACGGGTTTGGGACACCCAGGTGAGACACAAGTGGGACACACCTGCAGCACCCCAGCATGGGACATGGGTGGGACATGGGTGGGACATGGGTATGGGACACACCTGCAGCACCTCTGTGTGGGACATGGATGTGGGACACAAACATGGGACACACCTGCAGTACCTCAGTGTGGGACATGGGTGGGACACAGGTGTGACACGGGTTTGGGACACGGGTTTGGGACACACCTGCAGCACCCTGTTGTAGGACACAGGTGGGACATGGATTTAGGACATGGATATGGGACACAGGTGGGCCACAACTTCAGCATCCTGTTGAGGGTCTCAGGTGGGACATGGATTTAGGACATGGATATGGGACACAGGTGGGCCACAACTTCAGCATCCTGTTGAGGGTCTCAGGTGGGACATGGATTTAGGACATGGGTATGGGACACAGGTGGGACACAACTTCAGCACTCTGCTGAGGGACACAAGTGGGACATGGATTTGGGACACGGGTATGGGACATGGGTATGGGACATGGGTATGGGACACGCCTGCAGCACCCCGTTGGGGGACACGGGTGCAGGACACGTGTGCCCCATGGTGCCCACCCAGAGCTGAGCCGGGCCGCGCCACCGTCCCGGGACTCCCTTCCTGCCCTTTCCCACCCCATCCGTCACCTCTCTAATCCCGTCCCGGGCGAGGGGACGGCCGCCGGCGCGAT